TTACTTGAATTACACCGAATCTCGTATTTTTTAAATAAAAGACTATTCTGGTAACCGTGGCATTGACACGGTAATATAAATTAGCTTCTTATGTACAAGTACCTAGGTGTGCATAAATAAAACTTAATTACCTCCCAATTTATCGAAGGATCCCACCAGTAATGTATTTATGTTCTGAGCTCCCCTAGTCAATGTGTTCCCTCCACAACACACACACATATATATATATATACACATACATATACACACACACACACACACACACACACACACAAGTCTGACGCTGGTGCCCAACTTGCCACACACACAACACTCCCAATTATTTCAACAGCATACCCCTAATACTACTCACTGAGCCCACTAAATTCCACGCATACATACCTACGCGTGTGCACTCACAAGTACTCAAAATGTACACACTCATGCATACATCTGCATTCATACCAGTTTAAGCACATAATTTACCCACAAATACACTTCAATGTAAACACACACACAGTCCCACACCAGATTACACAAACACACACACAGTCCCACACCAAATTACACAAACACACCAGCAGGGTATGAGTTCACATCTTCACATAATCGGCCTGAAACTTATAACGGTACATACTCTAACTCTGGGGAAACCTTACACTAACCCCACACACAGAGCAACTGCCAATGGGGGCTGGGCAGTACACATTAACTGCTGGCTACCACACACAAACAGAAATGAGTAGAGGAGGTCAAGGGAGTCTGGCAGGGGTTATTGCAAGTTAAGAGGGCAGCGGAGGTGCCGCTTCTTCTGTGTTCCTGGTGGACACACCACTGTAGCTCACTGAACAGGGCCCTCAGCCCCATCGTTCCTGTGCGTCCAACTTGTCTGGTTACAATTACATGTTTGTTAGTCCACCCACTGTAAAGCACTGTGGAATTTATTGGTGCTATATAAATAATAGGCCATCCAGAACAAGAATAGTAGTAAATGGTGACATACCACCCTTCATCTTCCTGTCCTAGGCAAAAATACATCCTGGGTCTCACACACATTTTGTCTTATTTTTTTTACATCCACTGTCCATGCATGGTAACTAAATAAAGTGTTTAACACAAGTAGTATATATGTGGTTCTCTGCATCACTGCTTGTGAAAACCTGTTACTTGTGACTGGTTGGGCAAGGTCTTTTCCTGGGAACGAATTTTATCATCTCTTCAAAAGGTAACCCTGGATTAATTAGTTGTTATCACATTAAGAAAGCAGCATATGTATTCTAATGTCTTTAATCAGAGAGTCCAACTATGAATTCCGATACTCCATTCTCTGGCTGAGATAGAAGTGAAAGCCAAAAGTAGAATGACATTTTCTATGAATGCCGTGAATCGTGCCACGGGTTCAGTAATTAAAGGAACACTATAGCGTTAGGAATACAAATATGCATTCCTAACGCTATAGAGCCCTAGTCACCCTTCCGCAGCAAACAAATGGTTAATTAACCATTTATTTGCTTACCTTAATCCAGCACTGGGCTCCCTCGGCACTGGTGACCTCTCCTCCTCCACTGACGTCAGCACCCGAGTGGAGCCGAATGTGCATTCAAACCCGCCCATAGGAAAGCATTACTCTGTGCTTTCCGATGGGGATCTGTTTTGATGCTGGAGGTCCGTGAGAACGTCCAGCGTCATATAAGTGCGATTTACTAGGTGTAAATCGTAGAAGTGCCTCTAGTGGCTGTCAGGGAGACAGCCACTAGAGGCTAGATTAACCATGCCGTGTAAACATAACGGTTTCTCTGAAACATGTTTTCAGCTGCAGGGTTAAAACTAGGGGAACCTGGCACCCAGACCACTTCATTGAGCTGAGGTGGTCTGGATGCTATAGTGGTCCTTTAAGCAGGTTCAGCCAACCGACAGGTCCATTAGTTAAGATACATTTAGGATTCTGTATAAAATACATTTCTGGTACAAAGCTGTAACAGTGGAACAATCACCAATGAAACTGCCTGCACCACTTTTAGAAATGTTCTGTATACAGAACCCACACCACATCTGAAGATTACGGAATGTTTACTTAGATTTACTATATAAGGTGTCAGCAGGTTCCGCTGCACTGTGAAATGGAACAGAGTTACAGACAAGGACAAACATGGTAAAAATATTAGAAACTAGCATAGCATAGCAACAAATAATAGATTATGGAGAAAGAAGGGTAATATGTCAGATTGTGTTACCTGCTTGGAGTTTGTCAAGTAGAGTTTGGCAGCAAGGTTTAAAATTTGCAGTTTTACAATATCATCCTCATTGATAAACGTTTTGGCCGTCTTCCTCAGAACATCGGGTGCGATCTTCGGGACACGTTCACAGTACTCTCCAATGAGCCACAGAATGCTGGCCCTTGCCATTGGGACCTAGAAAAAAAAAAAATTATTCAGATGCATCTAGAATCCAGCAAAATCTGTTAACGGTAATGAATAGAATATATTAGAAAAAATAATAGGCCTTTTTATTAGGTAAATCAATCACAAAAAAGGAAGAAAACACAGCAAAGAACTAGCTAGTTGCTTAAAAATGTAAACATTTTATAATCAATAAATTTAGCTTATGTATACAATATAATAAGCTCACAAGGCAATAATGTGTCACATCCTACAGCAGAGGTTACAACTACACCTGCATTTACACACACACTTACATAAATCACAATGTTTGTTTGTAATATATTTACATACATAGATACATGTACAAGGCTCAAAATTTGTAGTTTTGCACTTCTATAGACTATAACTTACTTGCCACTCACGCCTGGAGAGTCGTGGCAAACAAACTAGGGGTAACATTCTACGTGCTGAAGTTTCACTTGGAAGTTTGTTATCTGCTAGAAGTCAAGTAATTAAAACCACAATACAGGACAAAAAAAAAACATGAATGCTTGAAGTCATTAACAGGTTTGGTTCCTGCAAAGACATTCAATAAAAGCCAAAAGAGATTTTCCAACTCGAAACAGATTTAAAAAAACACATTTGACTGGGACACAGCAGGAGAAGCAGCACTCTCACTGCACCTATTCCATTATTTTATTTTCCGGTTATTTTTTGTTCACACATTTGTCAGTTCCAATGTATTTAATAATGTATATTATATATAAAAATCCATCTATCAGATTGTTTTTACATGGAAGTAATAAGCAGCTGCAATTTGATTATTTTTGGTTAATGTGCAAAAAAAAAAAAAAAAATATCCAAAAAAATCCTTTAAACGGTGAAAGTGTCTTTTTTACTCAATTCTCTGGTTTTGCAATGGTAATCAATGGTAAAATAATGAGGAAATAAAAAGTGCCAGAAAGAGGTCTTATATTGGCGCACAATATAAAAAGTGGAAAAAGGGCACCAAAATATAAAGAGTGGGCTAAAGGGTAGAGCAATGATTTTAAGAAAATGGAACATGCGCACAAAACCGCGCAAGCATTTAAGAGAATGGCACACGTTTTATAAATAACGTTCTATGTTTGGTACTCAGTAGATAGAAGAGGAGATTATGCTTGATGTAATACACTTTTGTTGTGCAGTTATAAATGACTTTATTCAGTGGCACAGGTCCCTCCGCAGCATAAACCCACTTGCTTTTGTCAAGGTCTACACTGTGAGAATAATGCAGTACGGTAATGGATAGATCTTGCGCTAGGTATTTTTACTCTGGTGCCTCTGGAAAAGGCTCAGGCTTTACTGTACATTTAACAAGCAGTTAAGTGCACTTTCTTAACTCTTCTCCGTCAATAATGTTGCTTTTTTTTTATCCTATTACTGTGTCGCTATTACAAAAAGACAAGCAGCTCGACAAGTGGTCGCAGAAAATGAATATAAAAATAAAATGGTAGAAATAACGCACAATAAAGAGACCCACTTAAAGGACAAGAAAGGCTGTCACTAAAAGCATAAAATGTCCATCTAGAAGTAGAAATGAGCATTTCAAACCAAACCTAATGCTCTAATACACGCTAAACACCAAAACAGACATACAAAAACTGCTGGCTTAATCAGAACCACACAAAAAGGTAAAACAATTCACCGTCTACGAATACTCGTAAGCACATTCATGCTTTGCATTTTACAATTAAGATCTCGGATTTAGAAAAATAAAGCTAAAGTTAAAAAAAGTTTGTGAGTTTGTAAATATCACACCGGGAACAAACAAAACCTAAAGCAATCTAATATTGACCTAGAAATTGCATAAAAACAGACAGATCACTGTCACATATAAACAAACGATTCGATAGCCATAGAAAAATAGAAACAAGACGTAAATTAATCAAATGTCAGATAATATTCAAATGTGACCGTGTAGTAAGAATACTCTCCAAAAAAAAAAAAAAATGTGTGTTTACATAAAGCATTATGTTCGATAAAAGGTTTATAGACTCTGAAACGTTACATGCCACGAGCCTGGAAGTTACAATCCCCACCAGTTCATTTCTATGCACCATGGCTACATTTTTAATTGCCAATGGCTAGCGGGCAAGTTGAAATTTTGAGCCTTATTTGTTAATCTCCTTTTAAAAGCAAAGATCAATGCGTAAACATACATATTCCTTTCTCTGATGTGTCGGCCTGGCTGTTATATTACTGCAATTATGTTTTTTCTTTTAAACACGTTTTCTGAGAGCACACCGGCAAACGTAATCAGAAGCCGAGGCATGAAAGATAGAAAAAAAAACAGAAATGTATTACAAAAGTGGAGACCATCAGGCTCTCAAACACATTACTCATGTTGGATTAGTTATTAAGATGAAGTCTAAATTGTAATTTCCCAAATATTGCCACAGTAGCAAATGGCTCATTAAATGCAGACTTTGTGATAAATAGCTTTTCTATTAAAAAAAAATAAAAAAAATAAAAAAATAGCCAAGGTAATTAGGAAAGGCTGCACTGCATATTTTACTGGTTAGTATAATATATGATATGGGGATATGCAGCTGGAATACCTGGGTTTTTTGTGTCGCACATTATAGAAAAACATCTTACTATATTTTAAAATTGTTAAAAATGTTAAAGACTGTCACCCGGGTCTAATGAGTCTCTGAATAAAAATATTTTGCTCACAGACTAATTACAGCTAAAATACAATTTTATTCTGTAGCATAAATGCAGATTTTGAAACATCCATAAATAAGAGGAGACATTCGGCTGTTCCATTCATTGGCAGAACTTTAAATCTGCATTTTTGTTCTAAATGTCACATGAAGAGAATTTCATTGTACTCATCACTTCTCCCTCGATAAAGGCTCTGAAGCAATATCAAGCTGATCGTGTTATGAAGGATGTTTGTGAACTATTGATCCTCATTAACCTGGGACACAAAGCCTTCTGGCTGGCTGAGGATCATGAGAAACTAAGAACACAAGAATCTGCAGTGACAAGGTAAAAATCTGTTCCATTCATTAGAAAATATATCAACGGAACAAGTAATTTGCTTATTGTGAGCTTTATTCATAGATCTGTGAACAGAGCCATAGATGAATACCTCCCGACATGGACAAAGTGGGAAACGCTCATTTTAAGGGTGTGGCTAGGCACAGAAATTCTAGGTGACTTAATTTATACAACTAAAATGTAATTTAGAAAAAGAACAATGTATCTTATTTACACAGACTGATTTCTAAACACATTTATTGTAGTTTAAATATGCATTACTGGGAGTATTATTGCTGTGGAGCTCTGTTATACGCTCAGACACATTACTGGGAGTATTATTGCTGTGGAGCTCTGTTATACACTCAGACACATTACTGGGAGTATTACTGCTGTGGAGCTCTGTTATACGCTCAGACACATTACTGGGAGTATTATTGCTAGGGAGCTCTGTCATACACACCAACAATATGAAGCTCCTAAAAAGGGGGTTATGTAGAAGTGACCATGCAGAAATCGGCTTGGCTTGTTAGGGACAACAACCCTTATGGAGACTTGCAAACATACAGCATAAAAGTACGCCGTGATTGAGAGAGTGTAGTCTCAAGGCTCTGGAGATATATTCATATTGCCGTGTATACAGGACCCAGTGACATAACCTACAGTGCAATGAGAATCCCCGTAAAGAGGATAGTCGGTCACTAAACGCAACACCAAATGCATTTCAAAATAAAATAAATAGTGGAGGGGTTTGTTTTTAGATTTTTACTAAGATTAAATGAATTACCGGTATATGTGTTTGGTATATTTCTTTAACCCATGACATGTCATGATTCCCTTTTATTCCAGAAGTTTGGTCCTTAAGGGGTTAAAGCATTGAGTCACAGTACTTACTGAGGAATTTCTTAATATGTTTAAAATAAGGCTAAATGCTGCCACACACTTGCTAAATCACTGCTGCTTTAAGTTATATAAAAATCCATGGTTACTAAGAACAAGGCAGGAAAACAAAGTCTCTATTAAAGGGACACTCCACACCACTAGAGCACTCTAGCCAGCTGCAGTGTGTTATGTGTAGAGTGGCCATATTCACCACGTTTTCTGGGACACACATAATGTCATCAGGTTGACTGACAGCATGAAAATACTGCCCTGTATTACTGATAATGTATATCGTCTGATTGAGTTATCACCTAATTTACTACCTGCAGCATTTCATTTCTACATACTGCAGGGCAGCACTGTCTGTATGTTGCCCATCGATCTGTATAAATTGTGTTTCCTGGAAAATATGGTGAGTATGGTCAGTCTGTGATTGGACAGCCACAAAAAGTCAGGGCAGGGTTAGAAGGGGAGGGCTTACAAAGGCTGCAGACAAGAGCACTGCAGCTTTTGCAAACTGTTTTTACATATACCCCTATGAAATGCATAATTAAAGGCATGCATATTTTCAATTGGGGTATATATACCAAACAGTGATTTGATTTTTTTTTTTTTTATTTGGGCCGTGCAGTGTCCCTTTCAAGGACGGTCTAAGTACCATAACAATTACAGCTCAGTGCATGTGTAATGGTTATGGTACAAACAGCCTGGGGCTCTCCACAGCACCCAAAGCCACATTTTCCATGGTTTTCAGTCAGCCCAAGCTCTAATTTAAAACTAGCAATGTTATATCTTTGCAAACCTGTTCTGTGCTAAAAATCTGGCAAAATGAATGCAGGTCTGATCAGCCGCTGCTCCATTCTACAACATTCTAAATGACTGTAGAGGATCTTACACAACAGTGAGTAAATTTGAGAGCGGATGACACCTCAGAGAAACATTGCAATAAAGAATTTTTCTTTTTGAATCCAGGCTCCATTAGGCACTTCATCGCTGTAAATGACATCTCATCAGCTTAGCACAAGTAAAATTTATAACAACATTAATACAACAAACCCAAGCCTACAGTCCCCAAGCAAGCAGTCGTGCAGCAAAATTCAGCCGGCGCATATTAAATTCAAAGACTGAAGCAATACTGCAGGAACTTGTAAAATAACCTTTCACAAATCAGGAGCTTTTCTTAAATGGTTTTCAGGCAAATCATTATCACAAGTTATGACAAAAATGGAACAGATTAGCAACTCAGAGCAACCCCATGATTGTGGGACAACGCGTTCTGACACATGAATGCAGTGGAGATGTCACAGGGTACATGCGATGACAATAACATAAGCAATATTTGGTAAGCTTTGTTGTAAATTTATTTTATTAATATGCAACTTTGTATTGTCCAAAAATATCCAGAAAGACCCAATCAAAATCTTCCAAAGATGCAAACAATACAATAAAACCGCAGTCTGAGCAACGTATACCAGCAGTGCAGGTCCCTTGCAGAATGAGGGCCTTTTGCTGTCTTGCAAGTGCCAAGACCAGTGCTGATCAGGTTTGAAAAGAGACCTGATTACAGCACCATCATGTTCTGCAAACTCAAACTCACAAACTATATGGACTTTTTCTTGATTTCCAAAAAAAGCAAAAACAAATCCCAAAATGGGAAACAAGAGGCCATCCATTCAGAGTTGAGAAAATTAGATTTCACATATACCAGTGAATTGGGATCCTTGTAAAGGCTGAACAATCATGTTTTAACTATGTGCACACTGTGTGCTGTAGGCGAATGGTGAAGCTGGCATGTTTCATAACAGCAGCGATATTTAAAGAGATATTATAATACCATAATAGCTCTGTGTATTGTATAGGTATCTTTGAATCATACCCAGCTCTGTGTAATGTATAGGTATCTTTGAATTGTGCCCAGCTCTGTGTATAGTATAGGTATCTTTGTATTGTGCCCAGATCTATTTATTGTATAGGTATCTTTGTATTGTGCCCAGATATGTGTATTGTATAGGTATCTTTGTATTGTACCCACCTCTGTGTATTGTATAGGTATCTCTGTATTGTAACCAGCTCTGTGTATTGTATAGGTATCTCTGTATTGTGCCCAGCTCTGTGTATTGTACAGGTATCTCTGTATTATACCCAGCACTGTGTATTGTATAGGTATCTCTGTATTGTACCCAGCTCTGTGTATTGTATGGCAGGCTCTGTATTATACCCAGCTCTGTGTATTGTATAGGTATCTCTGTATTGTGCCCAGCTCTGTGTATTGTATAGGTATCTCTGTATTATACCCAGTACTGTGTATTGTATAGGTATCTCTATATTATACCCAGCACTGTGTATTGTATAGGTATCTCTATATTATACCCAGCACTGTGTATTGTATATGTATATTTGTTTTATGCCCAGCTCTGTGCATTATCTCTCTATTTTTCTCAGCTCTGTTTGTAGTATGGTTATCTCTGTATTGTGCCCAGCTCTGTGTGTTGTATAGAATGTGTGCAGCTTGTTTTATTGTATGAACATCTCTGTATTATGCTCAGCACCCTGTATTGTATGAGTATCTCTGTATTATGCTCAGCTCCCTGTATTGTATGAGTATCTCTGTATTATGCTCAGCACCCTGTATTGTATGAGTATCTCTGTATTATGCTCAGCACCCTGTATTGTATGAGTATCTCTGTATTATGCTCAGCACCCTGTATTGTATGAGTATCTCTGTATTATGCTCAGCTCCCTGTATTGTATGAGTATCTCTGTATTATGCTCAGCACCCTGTATTGTATGAGTATCTCTGTATTATGCTCAGCACCCTGTATTGTATGAGTATCTCTGTACTGTATAGGGAGGAGTAGAATCTTCACCAGCCGGCACGACCCTATGCATTATTTGCATTATGTTACATTGCTTTTTAACCTGATTTACTTTGGTTTTATGCATAATAAACTAATGAATAGTATTACTCTATGCATATCTCAATATTATGTTCAATTCTTTGAATACAGCTACAGTTGTGAGAGCCTCTTAAAGACATAGTACACCATTCACCATTGCCAAGCCCTGTATTACACTATTTTTTTTCTTTCTATGTGCCCCTTGTTTTTTGGTGAAATTACAGAGAGGATTCATTTTAAAGAAGATGCAAAAACGCATCCCTTGTACATATCAAGTGGTGTCCGCTCATTCAATGATTTACATGGGTATTATTTACCTACAAGTACCATGCATTAGATCAGTAATGCGGATTTGTGTTCAGATAAATATAGCTGGCTGACTATCACGGAAAATCTGATTTGCAAAAGTAACTGCGCAGACAATCTACTGTAAAGGAACTATATTTTCCAGAAAATGTAACCTGTTCTAATATAGTTACAGGCAGTAAGCATCACAAATTGGTATATAAACACACACACACTATAAATACAGGAGCGCTGAGGTTTCTAATGATAATGATAACACACAGAGAACCACCCAGCGTTAAGGGCACAGCAGGCTTGTAAATGGAAGGTCCAAGTACATTGTTTGGACAGGGTTTGAAGGTAAGTGAAGTGCTCTTTTATCGGAATATAGTTGTGTTCGGATATACTGACAAATGGTAGAAATTCCAATTATAACGCTTACCCTTGTAAAGGGCTAGACTGAAGAAACCAACCTCTTCTGAAATGAGGATCAAGATTACATAGGACAATAAGGGAAGCTTGTGGTTTTCCAATTGTTTTATTTCATCAGCGCACTGTGCTTTATGAATGTCATTCAAGGGTTAAACCATAGTGACTACAACAGACTATATTGCTTTGAATAAACACAGTAATACAAACGGTATGATATCACTACGATAATAAAAATGTTATCTGTAATAAATGCATAGCTCTCCATGCAATTTTACAATACTGATAATAAATGAGTGTAGGAAAAAGTTTAAAGGGTAACTCTCTCTTTGTATCTGTATCCAGAGCAGTTATGGTGCAAAGACCCTGCAGCCTTCATTTTGAAGAAAAATATATTTTTTCCCCTGTGTTTAGGGCCACCTTCCTTGGCTGTCAATCAGCCAGCTGGAATACTCTCTTCCTGCCTGGAAAAGTCCGTTTTGTGCAAATTTTGAGTCCACAGCACACATATAGCATGCTAACCTCGGACGCAGTGTAAAGACTCCCCATGGCAGGGGGTGTTTCACATAATGTGTCAAGACAACTTTCACAATCGCTCACAGCCATAGATCCATGGTGCCATATAAACACTTTACTGTTTTAATGGTATGTTATGTGGGCCGATGAACTGCATCAAGCAATACAATGAACATTGAATCAATGTAAATGTAACCTTTGCAGTCATATCTATATATTGGATTAATTAAGGAGGGTTTCCCAGTCTTAGATCAGATACAACCTATAGCGGGTTATGCACACTCCTAGAAAACAAAACAAATTGAGGTGGCTGACCACAATATCCAACTTGATGTAAACCCCATTACTCCGACATGCCCCTGTGACCGACGCCGGAAATTGCGTCCTAGCGTGCGTAATGACGTCATGTCATGTGATCGCAAACTAACAGTTGCCTAGTAACGGCAATACAATGTAGAATCATGTGATCGCAACTGATCTCAGTTGCTACAAAATTATTCTGTGCATGTGAAATATAAGACAGGAGAAATAGCCAAAAAATAACAACGTGCATGGAGGAAGATAATATTGTTACATACTGAGTGTAATTGAATAATGTATTGTAATGTATTTAGCAGAACATATTGGAGGTATAAAGATACAAAATAATCAGAAAAAATAAACAGAAGATAACTAAATGTTGTGAAAAAATCAATCTACATCTAAATCTGAATCTAAGTGTGTATGAAACTTGACTATGTGTAAATGTACAAGAATCACAAATGTAAAAGTGATGAGGTATGTAATGTGTGATGCTACAGGTGACTAAAGTGAAACTGTAATGAGACTATGTGAATCTGAAAATGTATGGATCCAAATATATAATTCGAACCTATCAAAAAAGTGAAAACAACCAAACAATAAAACGAAACAAAAAAGAGAAGAAGAAGAAAACAAATCTCTGAAGTAGTGAAGTGATTGCAGAAACTACCATGAAGAAATGACCAGAAATACCTCCAAAGAAACTGCACCAATATGGCTAACCATCACCACACTGTTATCTAATCCAGATATGTGAAAACCCTGAAATATGAGATATTCCAACGCATTCAAGATTTTCTCAACAAAATCAAAGATTGCAAACTCGCAGATTCTCAGTACATCTTTGCTACGGCAGATGTTAAGAATCTTTATACTGTGATTCCTCACACTAAGGGCATAGAAGCAATGCGCACTCTTCTTTCCAAATCAGAAGTTTATGAAGGGCCTCCAGTTGAATTCCTACTTGAAGGATTATTTCTTACACTGTCTAATAATTATTTCCGTTTTGAGAAAAATTTTTACATCCAAGAAACTGGCACAGCCATGGGATCGGCAATAGCGCCTACATATGCCAATAGTTTCATGTTTGCATACGAAAATACACATATATTGTGTAAATATCAAGAGCAATTAACATCATACCACAGATTTGTGGACGACATTTTTATTTTGTGGAAAGGCACGATAGAGGAGCTGGAAACCATGGTGGTTGAACTTAACAATCTTGATTCACCAATTAGATTAACTCTCACACACAACACTGAGAAGATTCAATTTTTGGATGTTGAAGTATTTCGAAAGGATCAAGGCATAGCATATAGGCTGTACAGAAAACCATCTGATTGCAATACCTTATTGCATGCAAACAGCTCTCATCCAAATGCTTTAAAAAACTCTTTACCTATCTCACAATATATAAGAGTGTTTAGAAACAATTCAGAAGAAATCAGCTGTAATACACAACTTCAGGATATGACCAGTTCTTTTTTAGAGCGGGGATATAAAAAAGAAGTTCTACAGAATTGCCTTGAGAAGGCGAAGAAAATCTTTGAAGGAACAGAAACTAAACAACATCAAACCACTCCGATGATCACGATTCCACTTATGTTCCATTCTGAAAGTCAAAGATTTTCACAAAATATCAAAAAGAGATGGGATATTCTATCCTCTGATAGAACATTGAATCCCATTTTTTTACAATCACCACGTATTGCGTTTTCACGCAATAGGAACTTAAAAGATATTTTGGTGAGAACAGACTTGCCGAGTTATTATAATCCTCAAAAGGAAAACACAAAGAAAGGTTGCTTCAAGTGTTCAGGTTGCGTTACCTGTGGTCATATGCTGACAGGTTCGTCTTTTGCACATCCACATACAGGCAAACGGATTCAAATCAAACACCGTTTGACCTGTTTAAGTGATCATGTTGTGTATTTGATCTCTTGCCCTTGTGGCAAATATTATGTGGGCAAGACGGATATGACAGTCCGAGACCGCATAAGAGGCCATAGATCGGGAATTATGACGGCATTTAGAGATGGCAAGACTGATAAGCCGGTGGCAAAACACTTTTTAGAATTTCAACACCGTTTACCAACCCTCAAGTTCATCATGATTGATCACATTCCTCCTTTGATTAGAGGGGGTGACAGATCCAAGATCTTGTTGCAAAAAGAGACATTCTGGATTCATTACCTGGACACGGTTCAACCTAAGGGATTGAATGAATACAATTCCTTTAGCTGCTTTTTGAATACTCGTTAATAGATTACTGTATCAGGTTGGGCTGCAGTGACCTTGAGCCCGTTTTTAAGTTGATGTTTTTCTGCATCAATTTCATTATCATTTTTTGAATTAATAGACCAAATGGTTTACTGCATAAGTAATTTTGAGCCCGCTTCCTTGAGTTAGATTCCATATGTCTTGATAGTTAGATTCTGTGTGGAACATTTTTATTGAAATTTATTGAAATTGATTCCCATCACATACTAGTAATATTGTGATCGGTTCTGATATGTATAGCTTTCGCAATGTAGCTTTATATGACCCATTTTGAATGTTTTGGAATATCTCATATTTCAGGGTTTTCACATATCTGGATTAGATAACAGTGTGGTGATGGTTAGCCATATTGGTGCAGTTTCTTTGGAGGTATTTCTGGTCATTTCTTCATGGTAGTTTCTGCAATCACTTCACTACTTCAGAGATTTGTTTTCTTCTTCTTCTCTTTTTTGTTTCGTTTTATTGTTTGGTTGTTTTCACTTTTTTGATAGGTTCGAATTATATATTTGGATCCATACATTTTCAGATTCACATAGTCTCATTACAGTTTCACTTTAGTCACCTGTAGCATCACACATTACATACCTCATCACTTTTACATTTGTGATTTTTGTACATTTACACATAGTCAAGTTTCATACACACTTAGATTCAGATTTAGATGTAGATTGATTTTTTCACAACATTTAGTTATCTTCTGTTTATTTTTTCTGATTATTTTGTATCTTTATACCTCCAATATGTTCTGCTAAATCCATTACAATACATTATTCAATTACACTCAGTATGTAACAATATTATCTTCCTCCATGCACGTTGTTATTTTTTGGCTATTTCTCCTGTCTTATATTTCACATGCACAGAACAATTTTGTAGCAACTGAGATCAGTTGCGATCACATGATTCTACATTGTATTGCCGTTACTAGGCAACTGTTAGTTTGCGATCACATGACATGACGTCATCACGCACGCTAGGACGTAATTTCCGGCGTCGGTCACAGGGGCATGTCGGAGTAATGGGGTTTACACGGTGATAGGGTAAGTTTATCTGTACACATGCTATATATTGTTCGTTTTTACATTGTTTGGACATCTTGATAAAGACCGCTTGACGGTTGAAACGTTGATGTATTTTGTCTAAAATTTAATACACATTTTGTATAAACCCAGTGAGTGCTCTCATTTTTCTGGATTATATATTTTGCACTGAGAAAGCACCTTGGTCCGAATTTTTGTGCTTAAGATTTTGTTGGGGAAGAGTGCCAGAAATAGTAAGTTTTTATATATATATATATATATATATACACACACATACACATATATACACACATACACACACTGCTGTGTGTGTGTGTGTGTGCCGTGTGAGGGTGCTGTTAGTGTGATGTGTGTGTGACGATGCTGATAGTGTGCTATGTGGGTGAGGGTGTTTGTGTGTGCGTGCTTGTGAGGATGCTGTTAATGTACTGTGTGTGAGGGTGCTGTTTGTGTGTGTGTGTGCGCTTGTGAGGGTGCTGTTAATGTACTGTGTGTGAGGGTGCTGTTTGTGTGTGAGGGTACTGGTAGTGTGCTGTGTGTGTGTTTGTTAGGGTCCTGTTTGTGTTTGTGAGGGTACTGTTAGTGTGCTGTGTGTGTGTGAGGATGCTGTTTGTGTGCTGTGTGTTTGTGAGGGTGCTGTATGTGTGTGGGTGCTGTATGTGTGTTGGTGCTGTGTATGTCTGTAGGTGCTGTGTATGTCTGTGGGTGCTGTGTATGTCTGTGGGTGCTGAATGTGTGTGGGTGCTGAATGTGTGTGGGTGCTGAATGTGTGTGGGTGCTGAATGTGTGTGGGTGCTGAATGTGTGTGGGTGCTGTGTATGTCTGTGGGTGCTGAATGTGTGTGGGTGCTGTGTATGTCTGTGGTGCTGTATGTGTGTGGGTGCTGTGTGGGTGCTGTATGTCTGTGGGTGCTGTATGTCTGTGGGTGCTGAATGTGTGTGGGTGCTGAATGTGTGTGGGTGCTGAATGTGTGTGGGTGCTGTATGTGTGTGTGGTGCTGTATGTGTGTGGGTGCTGTATGTGTGTGTGTGCTGTATGTCTGTGGGTACCGTGTATGTCTGTGGGTGCCGTGTATGTCTGTGGGTGCTGTGTATGTCTGTGGGTGCTGTGTATGTCTGTGGGTGCTGTGTATGTCTGTGGGTGCTGTGTATGTCTGTGGGTGCTGAATGTCTGTGGGTGCTGAATGTGTGTCTGTGGGTGCTGTATGTGTGTGGGTGCTGTATGTGTGTGGGTGCTGTATGTGTGTGGGTGCTGTATGTGTGTGGGTACTGTATGTGTGTGGGTGCTGTGTATGTCTGTGGGTGCTGTGTGTCTGTGGGTGCTGTGTGTCTGTGGGTGCTGTGTGTCTGTGGGTGCTGTGTGTCTAATATACATGTCATATACCAGTGACGAATCCAGAGCCTGAGCCCGGGAGGGGCACATGTAGATTATTTAAAGAAATATTCCGTGCACAATAACCACTACTCCTCTGTGTAGTGGTTATGGTGCAGGAGTGTCGGCACCCCATCCCAGAGTAAGTAGTCAAACCGTTTAAGAACAGTTTGACAACTTACCTGGAGTCTGCTGGGATATGGGGCTGTAGTAGGGTATAGGAGCAGTGGTGCAATGTGTGAGGGGTGCAATGTGTGTGAAAGATTCAGTGTGTGTGTGTGGGGGGGCAGTGTGTGAATGTGTATGGTGTGTGTGTGTGTGTGCGGGGGGGCAGTGTGTGAATGTGTATGATGTGTGTGTGTGGGCAGTGTGTGTATGGGGCTAGAGTTCACTCCTACTACTGCGACCACCATGAAGTGGTGAGAGTGAACTCTAGCCCGTAGCTCCAGGGCTAGAGTTCACCCACCCTCGTTGCCCCGGGTCCTCTCTTTCTCCCCCTCACTGCTCCTCTGTGTCAATGTCTCCCCTCTCCTTCCCAGTCTCTCTCTTCCCCCTCTGCCTCTTTCTTCCCCTCCCGTTGTGTGCCTCATTTCTCCCTCTTTGTCTCTCTCTTCCCCCTCTGCCTCTTTCTTCCCCTCCCGTTGTGTGCCTCATTTCTCCCTCTTTGTCTCTCTCTCCCCCCTCTGCATCCTTTCACCCCCTTTCCCTGTGTCTCTCCCATCTCCCTCCGTCCCTCCTTTCCCTGTGTCTCTCCCATCTCCCTCCGTCCCTCCTTTCCCTGTGTCTCTCCCATCTCCCTCCGTCCCTCCTTTCCCTGTGTCTCTCCCATCTCCCTCCGTCCCTCCTTTCCTGTGTCTCTCCCATCCCTCCTCCTGTCCCTCTCCCTTCCTCCTTTCCCTGTGTCTCTCCCATCTCCCTCCCTCCTCCTTCCCTGTGTCTCTCCCATCTCCTCCCTCCTTTCCTGTGTCTCTCCCATCTCCCTCCCTCCTTTCCTGTGTATCTCCCTCCCTCCTTTCCCTGTGTCTCTCCTGTGTCTCTCCCATCTCCCTCCCCTCCCCTTTCCTGTGTCTCTCCCTCCCCCCTTTCCCTGTGTCTCTCCCCTCTCCCCCCGCCCCAATTTACCTTAGAGAAGGCAGGGGGCCGGCCGCGTTGCAGACTGGAGCCGCCGGGCCGGGCGGCAGCTTCGCCGGTCCGGCGGCACTCCAGTCACTGGCTGCTGATGGCTGATGGAGGAGGAGCCTGTCTACCATGCTCCCTCGCGGTTCCCGAAGGAGCATGGTAGACAGGCTCCTCCTCCATCAGCCATCAGCAGCCAGTGACTGGAGTGCCGCCGGCCCGGCGAAGCTGCCACCCGGCCCGGCGGCTCCAGTCTGCAACGCGGCCAGCCCCCTCTCAGTGTGCCACCGGACCAGCCACCCGGTGGCACATATGTGGCCTTGCAGCCCCAGGTGCCGCGGCCCACCGGGAAATTTCCCGGTATCCCGGTGGGCCAGTCCAGCCCTGATCTAACGGAGGAGGGAAGTGAGTTCCACAGAAACGGTGAAGCCCTCTTCTTGAAGACGAGCATCAGAGGTGGGAGTACGGACAGTAGATAGACAGAAGATAGACGTAAGTCTTCAGCAGAGCGTAAGGGCTTAGACGGGACATACTTGTGTATTAGGGAGGATAGATAGGTGGGAGCAGTATTATGTAGAGATTTGAAAGCAAGAACCAGAATGTTAAATTCAGCCCTATATCTTACAGGAAGCCAATGACAGAAGGGTGAGGCGTGGGCGGACAGGAAGATGAGCCTCGTCACCGCATTCATTATGGACTACAACGGTGCAAGTTGGGAGCACATAAGACCACTGAGAAGCGGATTATAGTAGTCAAGGCGAGAAAGGACAGTGGAATTGACCAGCACCTTAGTCACATCTAGCATTAAGTAGGGTCGGATGCGCGCAATGTTTTTGAGATGGAAGCAGCAGGATTTGGTGATAGACTGAACATGAGGCGTGAAGGAGAGGTCGAAGTCAAGAAAACACCTAGGCAGCGAGTCTGCGTGGTGGAGCTGATGGTAGCACCGTTGACTTGGAGGGAGACAGACACAGAAGTAGCAACACTTGAAGGAGGAAAGACCAGAATTTCAGTTTTGGTCAAGTTGAGTTTAAGGAAGTGGGCAACCATGCAGTTAGAAATAGCAGAGAGGCAGTCAGAGACACTAGTCAAGAGGGACGGGGAGAGATCAGGAGAGGACAGATAGATTTGCGTGTCATCCATATAGAAATTATATTGGAAGCCAAAGGAGCTAATAAGTTTACCAAGGGAGGCAGTATATATGGAGAACAGTAGGGGACCAAGGACTGAACCTTGGGGGACACCAACAGAGAGGATTTGGGGAGAAGACGTAGAGCCAGAGAAAAAAAAACTGAAAGAGCGCTGGGAGAGGTAGGAGGAGCACCAGGAGAGAGCAATATCTTGTAGACCAATATTGCGGAGGATGAGAAGAAGCTGTTGATGATCAACAGTGTCAAAATCCACAGATAGGTCAAGGAAAATTAGGATAGAGTAGAGACCATGAGATTTTGCAGTTAGTAGATCATTGGATACTTTGGTAAGTGCCGTTTCTACAGAGTCCTTAGCGCAGAAACCAGAGTGAAGCGGGTCTAGCAGAGAATTGGACTCGAGGAAGTCTGTCAATCTCGCATACACAACTCTTTCAAGGATCTTGGATGCAAAAGGCAGTAGTGGGATAGGACGGTAGTTTGACAGGGAGTTAGGGTCAAGGTTGGGCTTCTTTAGAATTGGGGTTACAGTTGCATGTTTGAAGGGCAATGGAAATATGTCAGAAGAGCGAGAGAGAGTGAGAATTTTAGTGAGAGGTAGAGAAAGAGAAGAAGACAGAGTATGGATGATATGCTAGGGAATTGGATCTAGGGAGCAGGTGGTGGGGCGAGAGGACTGGAGCAGAGCAGAAACCTCTTCTGCTGTAGCGGGTGCGAATGAACATAGAACACTGTATAGAGGAAATCATTGCTGAGTGATCTCAGCAGCTCCCTAGGTGCAGGCTCAGCTACAGAGCAGGCACCTACCACTCATCACTGACTCAAGTAATGTGCCAGTAGGCAGGTGCCTGCTCTGGTGGGAGAGGGGTACCCTGTGCACAACAACTGGTGGCTGTCAAACAGAGCAGACTGCCCCTCCCCAAACTCTAGTCATGGCCCCTCCCCAATTCCACCACTTAAAGGGACACTATAGGCATGAAGACCACTTTATCTCATTGAAGTGGTCTGTGTGCAGTGTACCTGTTCCCTTAACCCTGCAATGTATAGGGGCTTCCTTGCTTTTCAGGGAGTTTAACTCTGCATGAGGACACCCATCATCTTGAAAATCCACATAGAAAAGTATTGCTTCAATGGTTGACACACCTAGTATGTAAGGGATAGCGGCATTAGGAATACAGTTTTGTATTAGTTATGCTATAGTGTTCCTTTAACACGGCTCTTCGCATTTTTACAGCCAATTAAAAACCAAAGAAAATAAGTTACTTGCACACTATCCAAAATCCCTATACACATTTAAATAGAGGATTTTTTAGTATTACTCCAACGGCCATTTAAGTGTAAGCTCACCTGGGAAAGGGAAA